TATATTTATTGTAGAATAAGTATTTTAAATAAAAATTTCAATACATCTTTTGTAAGTATTTATCACATACCATTGTGAAAGTTAAATACTTATAAAAATTGCATTGTAATTCTTTTAAAAATACTTATTCTACAATAAATATCATTTTTTTGTCTTGTAAAGCGAATTTTCTCTAATATTATTTAACTGCCACGAATGTCATAATTAAATACCTCAAAAATCACATAATTTCTATAACAATAATAAAATAACTGTAAATACTTTTTATTTAATTGCTAACAATTTTACATTAATTGAGAAAATCAACAGAAAACCTGTAGAAGTTTTATTTATTGTTTTGTCAACAATTATACACATAGATTTATCATTTATTTTATCTTTAAAAAAAAATCACAATAAAAAAATATTGTCGGCCGAAAGACTACATCAATATGGTCGGTCCATCTTGTTGGCCCATTAGTTGGAACTTTTATAATTTAGCTCTAATTATCAGTTCAATGAACTAAGTTACGATTAATTTATTAGATCATGCGCGGTGACTCGGATAGGATGAGCCAGCCAACCAACCATTATGCTTATTGGATGCTCAATAGAAGTCATCTACACGTGTCAAGATAACAACCACATATTTTTATATTAAATTATTACTAAGTACGACACCCGTGTACTATACGGGTGCATGAAAAAATATTTGAACAAGAAAAATAAAAGATTTTAACATTATAGTATATATAAAAAATAAATAAATGGAGGAAATCCCGTTAGAATAAGGTGTTAGAATATAATTACATATTCAATTGAAGATTTTAGAGTGTAAAAAAATTGTTATCAGTATTTGTCGAACATTTGGAAACCTTGTTAACTCAATTATCAAATAAAAAAAAATAATGGAGATATGATGTTAATTAATTCAATTAACAAATAAAATAATATTAAAAGTTAATTATCAAATAAAATACTGTTAACTAAGTCATCAAATAAACAAAAATTTTCGTTAACTCCACATTGATCCACTTTCAAATCTATATATATACAATTACTAGCCAATAGCATTTAATAAAACCTAATTAATTTTACCTATGTGGCAATTTAATATTTTTCCCTCAAAAAACCGTTACTTTTTTATGTATTTAATCTTTCATTTAATTATTAAATAATCAATACTAATCACTTCAAAATTACAAAGATCATTTTAAGCTTTTTATTATTGACAGCTGACCATATAATGTGTTGATCGTACAATGTGATTAGATGTTATTATTGTGGTTACATTTAAATTAATTTTTTTTTTTGAAAATTAAAAACGTATTTGAAATTTCTAAATAAATGATAAATAATTTAAAAAAAAAAAGACGTACCAAAATATACATTACATCCAATCAGATAAATGCAATTTTTTTTTTTAAAAAAAAAAGTAAATATTCAAACTTCTTTATTTGTAAATTTGGCATGAAAAAAAAGTGAAAGAAAAATAATTAATATAAATAACTCACAATCTTTATTTACATCTGTGCATTTGCACATGATCGAATACTATTAAAAGACTCGTTATTAACTCAATTATTAAATTCAAGTGATCTTTAAAATGGAAATGAAATAAAAAAGAAAGATTTGTGTGTCTTTAAATTCAAAACAAATTTGGTAATTAATGAAAATTGATCGGAGGCAATGATGTATGGTGGAAATTATTTACGGCACTTTCCAAGCCAATTTTGCTTTCAAATTTCTTATTTGAATCTAAATACAAAGCATGATATTGTGATATGTAGGATTCCAAAGCGTGTGAACCTGCAAAATTAGGTTCAACACGTTTAAATTAATATATAGGTGGTATAACACTAGTACAATACTCTTGTACTACACAAGCACTTGTTAAAAAAATTATATTTAAAATTACATAATAATAACAACAAAAATTGTTTCTGTTGAGTAAAGATGACAATATGGCATACGAATTAAAAAAAAAATGAGAAAAGTAAAGAACACAAAATTTACGTGGTTCGGCAATGTGCCTACGTCCGCGGCGGCTGAGGGATCTTTATTATTCTCAATAGTCTCAAATACATCAATACACCATGTATTTATACTATAACCCTACAAGGTATTAATTTACTTAAATACCTCGTACCGTACCCTGCTCGCTCCACTCCGCTTCGCTCGCTTCGCTCGCTCCGTTACGCTTGCAAGCATCAGTTTGTCTCCTTCCTTTGTCAATATATGAGGCATATCAACAAATCTCCACCCTGGCGAATATATCACCTCCTTAGGAGAATACAATAGCGAGCACCTCTGCGAGACAGACCAAGCAGGCCGGGGGTACAATGCAACTCTAGCAAGCAAAAACATTCAACAAATCCTTGAATTTGTCAAAAGTAACTGTCTTAGTCAACATATCAGCAGCATTCTCTTCAGTATGAACTTTCTCCAACTGAATATCACCAGAAGCAATCCATTCCCTAATCTTGTGGAACCTTACATCAATATGCTTCGTCCTAGCATGATATATCTGATTCTTAGCCAAATGAATAGCACTCTGACTGTCACAATGTATTAGAACTCCACCTTGCTGAATACCCAACTCTCTAACCAATCCAGCAAGCCACACTGCTTCCTTTGCCGCTTCAGCCAAAGCAATATACTCAGCTTCAGTTGTAGATAGAGCAACTATAGGCTGAGTATTCGACCTCCAACAAAGAGGCCCTCCACCAAAAGTGAAGACATATCCAGTGGTAGATCTCCTATTATCCAAGTCCCCAGCATAATCAGAATCTACATATCCTACAACCAAAGGATCCAACCGCTGATCTACAAACACAATACCATGTCCCGCAATACCTTTCAAATATCTGAAAATCCATTTGACTGCCTCCCAATGCTGTTTACCCGACCTAGACATATACTTGCAAACTTGACCAACAGCATGAGCTAAATCAGGACGAGTACATACCATGGCATACATCAGACATCCAACAGCACTGGCATAAGGTATCTCCACCATATCCTGAGTCTCCTTGTCCGACTTGGGGCACTGATCAACAGAAAGCTTGAAGTGGTTTGCTAATGGAGTGCTCACTGGTTTTGCTTCATTCATCCCAAACCTCTGTAGCACCTTCTCCACATAACCCTTCTGAGATAACCACAGCTTCTTTGATCCTCTATCCATGTGAATCTCCATCTCAAGAATCTTCTTCGCAGCCCCCAAATCCTTCATCTCAAATTCCTGACTCAAAAGGCTTTTCAGATCAACAATATCACGCATATTCTTGGCAGCAATAAGCATGTCATCAACATAAAGTAACAGAAAAATCATAGAACCATCACCAAGGCTCTTAGTGTAAACACAACAATCAAACTCACAACGCTTGTAGCCAATCTTCACCATATACGAATCAAACTATATATTCCACTGCCGCAATGCTTGCTTCAAGCCATACAAGGATTTTTTCAACCTGCAAAATAAATGCTTCTTCCCTGGTTGAACGGAGCCCTCTGGCTGCTGCATGTAAATAGGCTCTGCGAGATCACCATGCAAGAAAACAGTCTTCACATCCATCTGCTCCAAATGCAAATCCCAACTAGCCACCAATGCAAGTACAGCCCTGATCGAAGTATGTCTAACCACAGGGGAAAATGTCTCATCATAGTCAATCCCCGTTTGTTGTGAGTATCCTTTACCACCAATCGAGTCTTGAACCTTTCCCCTCATTTTTCTGTTACCGATGACTTCCTTGTGTAAATCCACCTACAACCAATAGCTCTCTTCCCTTCAGGAAGAACATCCAACTCCCATGTCTGATTCTTGTGTACAGAATTCATCTCTTCTTACATGGCAGCCTTCCATCTATCATTATTCTCACAAGAAACAACCTCCTGGAAAGTACATGGATCCATACTAGTGATCGTAAGAGCAAATGCGGCCATATCCTCATAACCAAACCTGACCGGAGCTTGTATATTGGTACGCCTCACTCTATCCCGAGCTAACTTGTAGCTCTCTGGCACATCAGTTGGGCCAGAAACATCATGATCAACATCATCAGGTGCAGAACTCGAACTCTCCCCCTTATCAAGAACTGCTGGCACATGTTCCAACTCCACTTGTACCTTATCTGCATCTGATCCCAACATAGACTGTTCATCAAACACTGCATCTCTACTAATCACCGTCTTCTTCTCAACTGGATCCCAAAACTTGTATCCCTTCACACCTTTCATCAAAACTAACATCATTACATGTCCATACTTCTTCTGCAACTTTGCCATCCAGAGATGCACGTGGTGATCTGTTAATTAAACAACAAGCCATACTTACAGCCTCAGCCCAGAAACTCTTTGGCAAACCGCATTCAGTCTTAAACACCTCGCCCTCTCAGCCAGTGTCCGATTCATCCTCTCAGAAACACCATTCTGCTGTGGTATTTTACGCACTGTAAAATGCCTTTGAATCCCATGCTCCTCACAAAACTTCTGGAACTGTGAATCGGTGTACTCTGTACCATTATCAGACCTTAAGTACTTGATTTTCCTACCAGTCTGGTTCTCCACCTCAGCCTTGTTGGTGTTATATACTTAAGCTTTGCTTTAGTGGATATTTCACTTGTTATTC